GGATCCAGGTTGTAAAATACTGCTCTTTTCTCCCCTCTGGTTATCCTAACAAGGGCTTTGCAAGCAGTAGTATGGCACCTTGCTTTACATGAGTTCCACTAAATTTAATGCTTCCTCTTATGCAATATAAAGTAGGTTTGATGCACGATAGCAAATGTTTGTTGGTACAGTATATTCCATTCTTCATGCTACTATTGAAAGATAGTACAGTATTTGAAGTTGGTTGCCCTGAGTGAGTATTCCTTGCTGTGGAGCTGCTTCACTTTGAAGGTGCTTTCATAAATGACATGAAAGGGAATGTAGAGTTGATCTTGGGAAGAAATGAGCCAGCCTTTAAAGGTTGTGTGAGAGTAGGAAATTATGGAACAGATCACACATTTCTGTAAAGAAGGCAATCTTGAGTGGAAAAATGCCAAAAAAAAAACCACCCCAAAACCCACCTGCTTTAATTTTGTTTGGTACGAGATGAAAAACAGAGATACTTGGACAGGTTTGCAAAATTCTGTTAGTCTATCTTGTTGCAAAAAAAAAAAAGAAGCACCTGAGCCACAGTGGTTAGAGTGCAGTATTGCAGGCTAACTCTGCCAACTGCCAGCAGTTCAACTCTCATTGGCTCAAGGTTGAGTCAGTCTTCCATCTTCCAAGGTCGGTAAAATGAGGACCCAGACTGGTGGAGGCAATATGGTGATTCTGTAAATGGCTTTGAGAGGGCTGTAAAGCCCTATGAAGCGGTATATAAGTCTAAGTGCTATTGTTATTGCTATTCCTGAATGTCTGCAGTGCCTGGTTCTGGAACTGTCCTATCTCAAAAAGCTGATGTTACTTTCAAAAAAAAAATTAGTTCCCACAATGTCGTAGCCTTTGACAACTGTAGCTTTCTGTAGTGCATGAATATTAAAATTGACAAAACTGGGAGGAAAATTCAGCGTCAAATATTATTATTATTATGGCTTGTCACACAATCATTCAGATGATGAGGCTGGATTTGGCCGCTTTAACCACTTGCCAATTCTATAACACCAACCTATCTAATCAGCAAAATCCAAAATCATCTCAAGCATAAACCCCAAAAGTGGTTTCCACTGGGAAACAAAATTATTTGTGTTCTTTTCTCTAAGCAAAACAGAGAGTTTAGCCGTCTCTCCATTAACTTTTCCAGCCATTCGCCTGTTTTGGGAACCAGTGTCCTTCCATTTTTGTGCATAAAGTAATCGTGTTGCTGTTGGCATATATCCATTATGATGTTTTAACTCCTTTTTGAAAGGCCAGAAGAATGAGGGCCTCACCTATGGAGAACTAATCTCACGTAGGTAGAGGAGCAGCTAGTCAGAGTTCTTTGACTGACAGGTCTGTAACGTATCTTTCTTGCCTGACTGAGTGGGATGTGCTGATGCAATGAGACAAAGATTCTTATAGATTTTTCTATGGTATCTAGCAATGACCTAGATCCACAGGTGTGATGTTTCTCAACTTCAAACCATGGTGAGGCAGTAATAATATCTGCAAATGTGCACATGTGGGATTATTTAAAAAAAAAAATTCTTGATAGTGTGATCTGAGACGTTTTCTGATTAGCAAATGACATGCACCTGTGTAAATATAAGGACTCCTCTGGAAAATTGGCATTCACCTCATTCTCTGAATATAGCCCTAATACACGATAATGGGGAGGGCTGTGCATGACTGAGTCAACGCTATTGCTCCCAGTTAAGCTTCCATATCTGGAAAAATGCTACGCTCAGTGCCGGATTTTCCTATAGGCTAGCTAGGCTTCAGCCTAGGGCCTCAAGATCAAGAGGAGTCCTTATATTTACACAGGTGCATGTCATTTGCTAATCAGAAAACGTCTC